ATATTATATGACTTGCGACCCTAAATATCCGTGGTTGAACAACATAAACTTTGCTAAAAATATGAATAAATATGGGCTACTTTATTTATAACTACAGCTTTTTGTGTGTTTTTAAGCCATTTAGTATATATTTGCTAATTGACATTATTATTGCATTTTGTTTGATTTTTGCAGGACCCCCAACTAGTTTTGTGACACACAGTGGGGTCCCGACCTCAACTTTGGAAACCATTGCTTTAGGCTGCAGTGCCATGTGTCTATAAAGAGCCAATAAAGAGGTCAGTAAGTTCAGTCCAGTTGTTTATCTTGAGGTACGCAATATCCACACCGTCCACACATTTTAATGTGTGTAAAATAAAGGTAATGAATCTATCATCAAGTTTACAATAYTACATATAACTTTTATTGTCGGTGATTTATTAAATACACACCATCCACATTTCAGCAATAACAMCAAAACATTTGTTTTCATTAAGTTGTAATTCTGAGTCGCCATAACAAAACTGGGTTTGRTGTATGTCAACTTTACAAAAATTTGATGTTAACATCTATAGCTTTAGGTTTTAGGTGAATCTGCGGCTCAGGTCATTGATTCTGCTCAGAGCATCACGGTTTCGAATGGTCTTGTGAACTGTGACAATGAAGGGGAATGCAGAGGGAAGCTCCACTTTTTTGCTCAGCTTCTGGTGACCCCAGTGGAGACAGCGCAGTTTCTCAGCCAGATCACATCTGCCTGCTCGCTCCAGGCCATCCTGCAACAGTTTGGTCTTATTCGGCTTGTCCCATGACCTCTCATACCTGTGGAGCAATCCAGTTTGTCAAAGTGAGGAAGTGTGCAGAAAGTCACAAGTAAATTGTTAAATCAAATGATTGTCCTTGCCTACCGTCATGAAAGTCTGGCAATCAAGTATTTTCTGTGTGCATTTATTTGTTTCTCAGGAAGATATCTCATGAACCACAAAACAGATTTTAATAATTCTCTCATAAAGTATTAATTGAAACTGATGAATATTGAAGATATATATTGAAGATGGTAGTAGCTGAGATTCATCCCCATCACATACTATGAGCACAGATAGATCGTGCTTAAAATATTGTGTGAGTTGGCATACTGGCACTTTTTGAAAGGCATCTAGTTTAATTTAAGTACTGCAACAGTTTCAGATACTAATAATGGGAATATTCTGATCATGTATCAATATAAGGTTTGCAACAAGATCAAGTTACCAGCTTTCCAACATGGTTTTTGCCTGCACGGTCTTCTCTGTGGATTTGGTGTGGAACCGGCCTATTTCAGCTCTGCTGAAGCCAAGCTCATACGCCAGAACCGTCCACTCAAAACAGAGCTGGCTGGAAATCTCCTGCAGTGTCTTCAGGTTAATGACGGCGTCCTGAGAGAAAAACAAACCCGCACGAGGAATGCCTTGCACCGATCTGAGATTCACAAAAAGGGAAAAGAGCTTACCTCCTGTGCTTTGTTGGGCATTATCAGGAATCGGTCTCTTCTTAAATCCAGATTTAAAGGAACAATATTGAACACGTTTAAAGATAAAACCACCAGATAGTGTATGAAGATCTGGAGAGGTTGGTTTAAAGATTTGTAAGAAACTTTAAAAGGTTTAGGTGTTACTGAGGAGACTCAGCATCAACAAACAAGCATGTTAATGATTAGACACTTCAGCTGCTTTAGGATCACTGCAGCTACAACTTATAAACAGGTAACAGAGGGGACGCAGTGCTTTATTTGAATAAAGACATGTCTAAATAATAAACATTAGTGTTGTTGCAGCACATCAAACAATATTCATGTTTCTGTACTTGTGTTGCTTTTAGGGTTTCATATGTTTACCCCTTTCAAAATGAATTTAGTTAAATTTTCTGCATTTCCCCTCACATTTTAAAACTCTCATTTTTAAAACCATCTTAGCTTCATATATTTTAAACAGTAATAGAGT